TTTTTTCTCCCCTTTTTTTCTCCCCTTTTTTTACATAAATGGTACATACTATGCATAGTTTATGTACTTTATTTTTTCACTTACCTTAGAAGTTGTTCTGTATTGTTATATAAGGTGTTTCCTCATTCTTTTTATGACTGCATAGTATTCCATTGTGTACTCTGTCATTTCATCAGTCTTCTCCTTTTGGACATTTAGGTTTTTCTGTGATCTTTATTAAAAGCATTGTGCAATGAATAACTTCGTACATTCATAATTTTCCACATATGTGACTATATCTGTGCCCCAGACATTAGCACAGCTCTATTGGGATAGTGACATAGTTGATAAAATATTATTTAGTATTATTTAGTACCTAGTAACATAAAAAATTAGTAAATCAGGGTCTCGGCAGTGTTTTTCTAGGGTTCCATCAACTTTGATTTATGTGTTTTCTGTACCACTATAATATAGTGGTATAGTAGAGTCAACACCCTATTTGGTTCTAAAGTACACGAGATAAGTTACATCACAATGGCTGTTTTTTCATTTGAGTCTTAGATGAAGCAAGTGGATTATGTGTAGGGACCTTGTCCTAAACGAACAAATATATAAATCTTTAAACACTAAAATCATGCAGCAGAGCAAGATTTTCAACGAAAGTCATGTAAGAACTGAGACTGATGTAACAACAGATTTGTGCTTTCCAGATCATGCTTACTCCAGGGCATATGCTCATTGAGTGCTATTTAAATTGATATTTTTCTTTTAAATTTTTTGGTAAGCACATATAGTTGAATTTGTGTAAGATGCAACTTCTACATAGTCCCAAATTACCAATAAGAAAATTAAACTTAAAAGAAGTAAACTGTTTACCCAAATTTGCATAATAAAGTGGTAGACCTGGGACTAGAATTTATATCCCCTAATTTCTAATCCAGGGCTTTTTTCAATATATCACACGTTCTCATAATTTAACATGTAGCTCCAGCGGGAGATCTGAGAAAGCCTAGTGGCTAGGGACTGTTTTAGGTACGTTGACTCTGCCTAGGCTTTGGAGCAACCTGGAGTTCAAAAAGCAGCAGTGTGCTCTTCTGATGACACAGTAACATTCTAAAAGTAATTGTTGCAGTATTCACACAACGTGTTGATTAGCAATCAGGAGGGCTCCAAATCAAAAAATTAAAGCTGATGTGGAGAAACACTCTTTCCTAATTGGGACATAGTTGTCTTCGAGATGAATTTATCAGTCATAAGGATGGGAAGGAAATTAGGATTATTTGGAAATGAATAGTCTTATATTCCCCAGAGTTCATGCCATCATTTCATTGAGCCAGGAAAATCTAAACAATCAGAAAGGGAGAAGTGATGGAAACAGCAAAAGAATTGAGAAATAGGAGATTGGGGAATGTGCTGTAGTAACTGTATTCCCCTGAAGCTGGCATTGCAGCATATGACACCCCACCCCGCTTCAGGGCCTCAACTGCTGGCTATTCCCTTTCTCTTTGCATAACTCTTACCTTTCAAGTCTCAGCCTAAATTTTGCTTGTCAGATTGTCCACCCTATCTGAGCAGCCCTCTACCCTCCACCCTCCACTCCCACTCTAATTCCTTATTACCACCTGCTGTTTTCTTCATTGTGTGTGTGTGTGTGTGTGTGTGTGTGTATGTATATTTGTTATTGTCTGTCTCCCTTCTAGGTTATGAGCTCTGAGAAGGCAAGGACTACACTGTTTTGTTCACCATTATATATACATTGTTTGGGTACATATTTGTTGATGAATGAATGATCTTGGTGGTTCCCAATTCCCAATTTACGTAGCTGACCAGACCTACTCTTAAAATGGAATGTTTTCAACAGTATATTTCCCCATGTTCTTATATTTGTTAGTTCAGGGTTGGTTTGGAAGATGTATATGTAAGTTACATGCTCATCTTCTTACTGAGAAAAGTATTAACTTATTTGCCAACAAGGTGTTATTGAATGTGCAAGGCACTATGCTAAACGCTGGGTCAGTACAAAGGTGAATAATGCATAGTCGTTATCCCTAAGGAGAAGTAGAAACATTAGTAAACAAATAGCTTTCATTGAAGGCAAAATGAAATAAATACTAAATAGAGTTGTACAAGCAATATTCTGTAGCAGCAATGAAGAAAAACTGATTAATTTTAATTACAGGAAGGGCCTCATGGAGTTGTGCCTTTGGTGTAGAAGATAGAAAAATAGAACTGAAGTAGTCCCTATATGTGGAGAACAGAGAGGAATGAATGTTTAGCTTCACTTTTTAAAAAGTCCTTAAAATAGTAATATTGGCCACAAAGAAGTCTTATAAAACATTGTCATAAAGCAGTCTTAAAAAATTTCAGTTATAAAATTACTCTGGCCTTAAACATTACACTTGTTCTTTTTTTTTTGGTGAGGAAGATCAGCCCTGAGCTAACATCCGTGCCAATCCTCCTCTTTTTGCTGAGGAAGACTGGCTCTCTGCTAACATCTATTGCCAATCTTCCTCCTTTTTTTCCCCAAAGCCCCAGTAAATAGTTGTAGGTCATAGTTGCACATCCTTTTAGTTGCTGTATGTGGGTCGCCGCCTCAGCGTGGCCGGAGAAGCGGTGCGTCAGTGCGCGCCCGGGACCCGAAGCCGGGCTGCCAGTAGCAGAGCGCGCGCACTTAACCGCCAAGCCACAGGGCCGGCCCAAACATTACACTTCTAAAATTGAGGTTAACCATAAAATTAATTTGACTGTTAGACTAGGTTGGTAGATTGGTGCTTTCCAACTGGTTGCTAAGTCATCAGTTCAATCTAATAATTGGATTCTAATTGCTAATAGCAGTTAGTGATTATTTAGTAAACTAATCAATTAAGACAAAAGTGTTGAATGATAAAGAAAAAATTCATTTCTTTAAAGTGATTTTTAAGCCATTAGTGACTTTAATGTATTGTTCTCTGACTGCATCACAAGTTAAAATGTAGACTATTTTTTGATGATCTAATTTGATTTCTGTTTTAAGTTTACTTTTGCTTTCCTACCTTTGTGTGTTTTCCTAAGCAATATAGACCTTCTCCTCCCCCTCTTATTAAAAAAAAAAAAAAAGGGAGAAGCAGCATAGGCTTTAGATTCATAGACCTGATTTCAACTTGGCCACTTACTAATTACAGTTCTGCCACTTTCAGTTTTGTCACTTCCGACAAAATATTTAACCTCCTTGAGGCTCAATTTCATCTATAACATGAAAATATCTATTAATCGTACTCTGTCATTTAACTAGTTTTCTGACCTCAGGCAAATTATTTAATCTGTCTAAGCCTCAGTTTTTCCATATAATAAATTTATCTTAAATGAAGTGATCCATAGAACAGTGTCTGGCAGTTAATAAGCCCCTCAGCAAATGTTGCTTTCCCCTCATCCTCTTCCATCTCATCTAAACCCTGCGTGTTCTTTAAAATTTGCTTAAAGTTCTCATAGCAGTCTCCTTTTTTCCAAAGTGATTGCACTCACTGTGTAGACCTTGGGTTCTTAAATTGGTTTGGATCAGCATTATATTGGGAGCTTATTAAAAATGCAGTTGCTTGGGTCCCATTTCTGATACTGTGGGTTTTGCATGGGGTCTGGGCATCTGTGTTTTTACCCTTTTCCTTCAGATTTTCTGATACTCACCAGTGATCGTAATTCCTTACCTATTTGTTAATAATGTGCTTCTTAGAGTTTATATTTGTTAGGTAATTCTTATATTGTTATGTAACCTTTCAGGTGTTTTAGTTTACACCACAAATATGCTGTAAACTCCACAAGGGCGCAAAATACCCATAGTAGTACATGGTGCTTAGTTTAGAGGCTGATAAGTAATGTCCCCGCCCCCCCCACCTTTTTTTCCCCTGCTAAAGTTTGGATCCAGTTAAGAAATAAGATGCAAAAGTCAGATGAAGGTTCAGATGTAAGTTTAATTACCAAAAAAGTTGTTTGGAAAATGTGGCTGAGGTGTACAGCAACAATGAGCTTCCTAGTATTGCACTGCAGAGTTAAGCAGATTTAAACCTCAGGTTTCTCTATCTGCAGGAATAGAGCTTGCCATACTACATTTACTGTGTGACAGAGAGCAGACCAGAAGGAATGACTCTCTTTAGTCAGACAAATCCCAAATGGAAAGGAGAGAGGAAGTAGCTGAGCCTCAGAATTTCTTCTCTCAAACTTATCAGACCGGTTACTCTCTCCTACCCTAGGGAGGAGTTAGTGAGAAGGTAGAGGTCAGCCATGAGTATTACCCTAAGGAAGTTTTATGTGGAGTATGAACTTTCTTGTACTCAGTAGGTATTTGTTAATGGATTTTTTTTTAAATACCTTGCATTGCATCAGGATGCTGTGATTTTTAATACCTAAATGAGTAGTTGTAAAGTTACAAATTCAACCAGTTAAAAATTAGTATATATTCTTGTATTAATATTCTTTTGCTGTGTTAAGAAATTACCCCCAAACAGCTTAAAACACAAACATTTATTATGTCACACAGTTTCTGATGGTCAGGAATCGGGGAGTAGTTGAGCTGGGTGGTTCCAATTCAGGGTCTCTCATGTGGTTGCAGTCATCTGAAGGCTGCTTGAGTGTCCTGACAACATGGCAGCTGGCTTTCCCTCAAAACAAGTGATCTGAGAGAGAGGCAGACACCACAATGTCTTTTATGACCTAGCCTTAGAAGTAACATACTATCACTGTTGCACAGACTCACCCTGATATAATGTGGGAGGGACCTACACAAGAGTGAATACTGGGAGGCAAGGCTCGTAGGAGGCCATCTTGGAGACTCCAATTGTATAATTATATAACACAATTATATAACATTAGTTTGATTTTTATCTCACATTGCTTCATATGAGAACAAGTAATTAAATAGTTTAATATTAAAATTATTAAAATATTGGTTCTATGAAATAATTGTATCTTTGTATATATTGTATAATTTTCTAGCTGGAGAATAAGTTGAGAGGATGATTTTCTACTAGCGGCCCCTCCTTCCTGTCTAGATCTGTGTCTAAATTAGAAGTTCGTGTAGTGTGATCAGGGACTACTCTTGGTTTGTATGAGCTTCTAGATAGACTATGCAAGTTCATGTGATCTATAGGCAGACTTGTTATAAGGTGATAATAGCTACAATTTTGGTTTTAGTATGGATTAATTACTTCTGGTTTCCTGAGGGGTGCTTCATAAAGTCTGATTCCCAGCTTCAGATTTATTAAAGTGAGGTGGTTTTGCAGTGGTCATTAGGATGTGGTGGACTAGATGGCTGGTAAAGGTCATGTACCTCACTGAAATAGTCCATAGGCCAAAGGAGTTGAAAACCGTCACCCTAAGTAAGCATCAGTGGTTTGATTAAAATTCTAATGCCAGAGCACTAAAGAAGTCCAAGTAAGTGAAATAAAGTGGTTAAAAATCATTAACTATTTTATTTTACTCATTTATTTCATCATATGAGGTGAACTCATTTATTTCATTATTTCATTATGAACTCAAGTGAGATGAACTCATTTATTTCATCATAATTTAGATTTCATATAATATGCTAAATTCAGGTTTTGTAAGATAGCGAAAAAATAGCAGTGTAAGTTAGAGGGAACTTGAAATGTTGAATTAAAGAGTATAAAATTCATTTGTATGAAAAGTATTTGTATAAAAAACATTATATTTTTAGTGCTTTCCAACACTATGGAAAAGACAATAATTTGAAGATTATGGCAGAAAATGTTTTAAGATAAATTGACAATGCCTAAATGTTCTTTGGAATTCTAGTCATAAATACTGTTGGATCAGTTTGCATTTCAAGTTGCTTAAAGAACGTTCATTAAGTTGTTTAAAGAATTTATGCATGAATGACCAGTCCTAGAAGCCCAAATATCAGTATAACCAAAGTTTTCCTCTGTATTTAAGCTGTTTACTCCATAGACAGAAGAGCATATAGAGCACACAAGCACCAGACACAGTGAACTGATTTGGCTATTACAATTTCCATTTACGTAGGCATATTTGACAGCAACTTTCACCTTCAAATATTAGCAGGCAATATTTTGCTAATCAGTAAAGAAATTTCAGAGAATTCATTTTAATTTCCAAATGTAATTTGTCATGATTAATCAATAAAATGATGTTTAGTTTGGGTACTGATTAGTTTAAGATGAGATTTCCCATGAATTCTTACAGTAAATGAGAGATGGTAGTATATTTTTTCTGAATATGGAGTATATAAGCCCTGAAAGTTGCTCAGTTGAGTCTTCAGAGCTAATAGGTGGCAGTTAAATGAAAAAAATCTTGGAGTAAATTGAGAATTTTCTGAAAATGCAAGGACAGAGAGGTGTAGAAAAGTTGGGAAATGTTAATTTTAGGATATGTGCCTGGAATAATAAATATATTTACTACCCTCAAAAATTCCCCTTCCAGGGCAGAAGAACAAGTTAAATGGTATGACAAAGAATCAATCAAATCCATTCTATAGGACAAGTCTTTTCAAAAGTCATTAAGAGAGACCAAAGAAACATGATAGCCAAGTGCAGTGCATGGACTTTGATTAAATCCTGGTTGAAAAAAAACTGCTGTAAAACACTTATTGGGGGAATTTGAATATGCCTAGCTATAAAATGTATTTGGGAATATATTTTTTATTTTCCTAGGTGTGTTACTGGTTATTATGGTTATGTAGGAGAATTGCCTTTTTTTAGATGATGTATCTGAAGTGTCTTTAGGGGCGAAATTATCTTCAGTATTCAGAAATGTGTGTATATATATATATACACGTACAGATATAGGAAAAACAAATATGATAGTGTTAAATGTTGCATCTCTGTGGTAGATATAAGGGGGTTGTCGTACTATAAACTTTTCTGTATGTTTGAATATGTAAAATAAGAAGTTGGGAGAAAAAAATCCCCCTCTAGGTATTATTCTCTTTCTTTTTTTTTTTTTTTTTTAAAGATTTTATTTATTTATTTTTCCCCCAAAGCCCCAGTACATAGTTGTCTGTCATAGCTGCACAACCTTCTAGTTGCTGTATGTGGGACGCGGCCTCAGCATGGCTGGAGGAGCGGTGCCTCGGTGCGCACCCGGGATCCGAACCCGGGCCGCCGGCAGCGGAGCGCACGCACTCAACCGCTAAGCCATGGGGCCGGCCCTTATTCTCTTTCTTTACTCAGCTTTATGAAGGCCTCGAGAGAGTGTATCATTGTTTATCCTCTAATATTAACTCTTTTGAATCCAGGCCAGTCAAGCTTTCATTCCTACCTTGGCACCAAAACTGCTCATTTCCACATCAGCATTGGCATCCATGTTGCCATTTCTTAGTCCTCGTTTTCCTTTTGACCTCTCAGCATCATTTGACTCAGTTGATATTCTCTCTTACTTCAAGTCCTCTCCTTCACCTTCTTAGTATCTTTTGTAGGTTCCTCTTCTTTAAGCATTGAAATGACTCAGAACTCAGATCTCTTCTCAATTTGTATTCATTCCCTAAAAAATCTTATCCTGTCGTATAGCCTTAAATACTATATAGATGCTAAGACTCCCAAATTTATAGCTCCAGCCCCAACCTCTCCCCTGAACTTCAGACTCATATATCCGTCTGCCTACCTGATATATTCACTTGATGCCAAGTAGATAGACATTTCAAATTTAATATGTCCAAAGCTGAGCATTTGAGTCCCATCAGTCACTTCAGCTCACCCCCAAACAAAATAAAGCACCTGTTCCTTACTTGCTACTCCTACGTTCTTTGTCATCTCAATATGAGGCACTTCATTCTTCTGATTGCTCAGGTGAGAAACCTTGGTATCATCTTTGATTCGTCTTTTCCCCTCATACTATACATTTAACCCCTCAGCAAATATGGTCAGCTCTACTGGTAAAATATATCCAGAATCTAAGCTCTTCTTCAACTCTCACCACTCCAGCTTAATCCAAGCCACCATTCTATCACAGATTGTAACAGTTTCTCAACCTCAGCACTATTGACATTTGGGGCCAGTAATTCTTTTTGTGGGGAGTAAGCTGTCTTGTGCATTGCAGGATGCTTAGCAGTATCCCTGCCTCTACCCACTAGATGCAAGTAGCAACCCCCTCTTGCACAGTTGCAACAACCAAAAATGTCACCAGACGTTGCTTAAATGTCAAAATTGCCTCCAGTTGAGGACCACTGGATTATAGCAATAGCCTCCTGTTCTCCCTGCTTCCTTCCTTCCTCCCTACAGTCTGTTCTCCATTTAGCAACCAGTGTATCATGTAAAAATATAAATCACATCGTGTCATTCGTTTGCTCAAAACATTCTGGTGGTTTCTCGTCTCATTAGGATCAAATCTGTAAGTGCATACAGATTCCACCTCTACAGACAACACACACACGTGCACCACAGTTGAAGAGGAGCTTTTTCTCTGTGTGCAAATTGAAAAGGACCTCCCCCCCTTCCACTAGGTAGATGCAGCCTCTTACCCTGCTTTATTTTTCTTTACTGAATCATTTATCACCACCTTACATGTTATATTTGTGGAATGAGTGGTAAGGTGAGAAGTAGAATTATAATAATGTATGCAAGATGTACAATTTTAATAATACATGCAATTGTAATATGTACCAAGATAAGTATTAAAATTTCAAGAAAACTCGGCACCTAACCTAGCCCCAGAAACTCTTGAAAGGCTTTCCAGAAGTGATCCCTTAATAGGACTTAGTCTGGTAGTGTAGAAGGAGAGAAAGGTATTAACAGTAGAGGGAGAAGAGAAAGAGTGGGGCAAATGATTAGTTCAATTTTGAACTGACTCCAAGGGACCTCCATGAGGAGATTATTTCATTGAGTAGTTAAGAGATATTGGTCTTAACTACTGATGAGAGACATCTGGACTGTAGATACAGATTTGGGAATCATCAATACATAGGTAGAAATGAGAGAATGTTTACATGTCAAAAGTGGAAGGAAAGCCTTGAAATTAAGTCTGATAAACTAAAGAAATTCCCTAATCAAATGCCACAGAGAAAAATGTGTGTGGAGGGTATGGAATGAAAGACTGCTGATGTGTTTCTCTAAAACAAGGGAAACAAATGAGATAGGGTCATTTGGTCATCTGTACTTTAAAACCTTCCGTTACTTTAGTCTGGTTTCAGCTAAATAATTGTTCTTCCTCAGGGTTTATCAAAGTGTTGATGACATCAGACGGATTGAGCCTGCTGACTATGACTAGTCATATAGGTTCTCAGGTTATTTTAACATTTAGGCATTAGAAAAATCAGTTTTTCAAACTTGGAACTCTTTGAGGGGAAAAAACTTTATGGATTGTGAAGTGTTCTTTTTATCTCATTCTTACGCTTTTAATTTGGGATTGTAAGCTAACAAGTTTTTAGTCTAACCATAATAATCATCAACAAACCACTGAAGACTTAGTGGCTTTCAAAAGCGATTATTTCTTATGATTCTGTTGGTGACTGTCAGGGTCTTCTGCTGGTCTCACTGGGTCCACTCCTGTAGGTGCAGTCAGTTGACCGCTGGCCTGGGGCTCAGGAGTCTCAGGTGGCGGCACTGACATGTCCGTGGTCCAGTGCTGCCTGTCAGCTGGGCCTCCTTCTCTGTCTCCAAGCAGTCTCTCCTCATTCAGACTCTCCCTCGGGCTTTTTAACGTGGCAGCAGAAGTGTTCCAAGAGGGCAAACGCGAAAGGATACAAGGCTTCTGAAGGCCTGGTCTCAGAAGTTGCACAACATCAGTTCTGCCTTCTACCACACTATTATGGATGCAGATTAACTCATTTAAACCTCACAACAGTGCTGTACAAAGTAAGTACCATTATTATCTTCATTTTTAAAATGAGGAAACTAAAGCTCAGCACTAGTAGTTTGACCACAGGCACCCAACAGACAAGCCACAGAACCTGACATGGGTTTTAATCTCTCCTTCCCCGTCAGCAAATTCTGTGACATTAATTTATCTGAGCCTGTTTCCTCATCTGTAAAATGGAGTTAATACTATACAGAATTATTTTTAGGATTGAATGATTTGCTTTCTAAAGTACCTAGCAGAGTGCATGATACAGAGCAGGTACTCAAAAATGTTAATTTTACCACCTTCCTCTTACTCTTCTTAGGTTTCTTTATTAGAAGAGGAAATGTTTTTATACATGCTGTTTGTTTTATTGTCTTTAAAAAACTTGAATGATCTAGACTAGAATTATTATTAAAGGAGACTGTTGTTAACATTCCAGTAGCAGAGCAGTAATAAAGAAAATTCCTTTCTGAAGGAATTAGTTATTTTAAGACTGTGATCTTAGCTATTTTGCCCTAAGGTGTTAGTGGCTTATGATCACTTAATATATTACTCTTGCAGAGATTATTTACATTTTCAGAAGAAATAAAATGCCAGTGAAGGAACAGAGTAGAAGAATATTAGGTTTTGTGGCAAGCCAGTGAGGAAGCTGTGATTAGGAAAGGGCTCTTTCAGTGGTGCTCCTTGTGGTGTACCTACCACCATGGGCCAGCCCTGGCAATTTATCAAGTAAATCACCACACTTCATATGCAATTTATAGATTTGGGTTTCTATAGACAAAAAGAGAGAGATGCCTTTTAGTAAATTCAGATCATCATGCAATATTCTTTCATTTGCATGTGTGACATTTAGATAAACACAGATGTGGTCACTGTACTATAAATGCAAGCTACCGTGCTGACAAATTAAGGTTTGGGCCTGTTATGGGCTGAATTGTGACCCCCCAAAATTCATATGTTGAAGCTTTAACCAGCACCTCAAAATGTGACTATATTTGGAGAGAAGGTCTTTAAAGAGGTGATTAAGTTAAAATGAAATCTTTAGGGTGGGCCCTAATCCATTATGACTGGTGTCCTTATAAGAAGAGATTAGGACACAGACATGCATGTGTACAGAGGGAAGACCACTTGAGGACCCAGTGAGAAGGCGACCATCTAGAAACCAAGGACAAAGGCCTCAGAAGAAACCAAACCTGCTGAAACCTTGATCTTGGACTTCTAGCCTCTAGAATTATGGGAAAATAAATTTCTGTTGTGTAAGCCACTCAGTCTATGGCAGCCTGAGCAAACTAATACAGGGCCCATTTTCTGCCCTTACATGTGTATGGTGTTAAATATGTGTTATTTTTTCAAAACCAAAAATTTTTATTACAGGAAAACAAATCAGGAATGGATTTTAGGAACTTTTTCTTACAAACTAATCATATTAAGTTATATGATCTGGGATTTGAAATAGACCAGATCAGAAGTATCTTCTTATCCTTTATTTTACCACCATGGCCATTATCCTCTTCACCCTGCCTTACACCACCCCATCCCATTCCAACACACATGCATACCAGGTGTCTGGCTCTTTCACCTTCAGTCCTTGTGTTTTCATGTATATTCCTTAACAAGCGTTAGTTATTTTCCCTGAGCAACAGGAAAATCTTCCATGTTGTTTTTTATCTTCACTTTGTGAAAAAAACACGAGTAGCCTAGATGAAGAAGGAGCGAGGGCCTTAACATTTATGGAACATCTATTTTATGGTAGGTACTATGTTATTCACTTTACATAAACCACCTCCTTTAGTGAGAAAACAGCAATGGCCTAATTGAGAAAAAGAGAAAAGCCACAGTAATAGCCTTATGACGTCACTTTGGAACTTTGAGTCTCTGGCCATTGCCCTACTTTCTATATACTTAGCCCTGCCATTA